ATACCCTTATTTATTTATTGTAAGAATGACAGATTCAATTTACTCTCTCTATAATAACTCCTGACTTCTATTAGAAGTCGAGTTGTTCATTATATAAAATATAGGTCATTCGACCTCATTAACTATTTAACACATTTTTACTTAAAGAATTTCCCTAACCCGTTGTTACTTATCTATCATTATATAAAAAGAATAACCTTTTAACACATTTAGAAATATTTTTCCGCCAAAATCATTAAATATATTCTATATATAGTAATTGTTGGACAAATCTGAATAGGCAAAAAAATCGGCTCATTAATTGTGTAAAGATTTGTTTCTCTTTTTCCCGTTTTTTAATTTATCAAAATCGTTGTTTGACAATAAATATTTGTTTTTCTTTTTCCTATTTTTAGTATAAATCTACACGAGTTACAAAATCATATTGCTTATCTCTTCTGTTACAAAATCCCATTGCATGCGTCTCACGTGTTTTAAAAATCTCATCCCTTATTTATGCAGATTTGAAAAAATAAAATAAAATAGAAACCAATTCATAATTACTACTAGAAATTCATTATCTTTAAAAAGAAAAAATAAAATAAAATAGAAACCAATTCATAATTACTACTACTAATATTTTTCCAAATATTATAAGCTAACCATACAAAAAAGTATAATAATAATTTTGAAATGGTGTGTAATCAAATTTCTTTATATTCCCTTATACAAAATAATTTTACATTGTTTGACCCCAAATCTATAATTTATAATTATAAAGTATTGTTTATCCTCCTCTTTAATTTATAATTATTTTTTTCTTCTTCTTTTTAAATAGGATCAATAGTAGTTTCCACTTCCGCTATTGAGTAACTCAAACTCGATATCTATTTATAATATTGTTAATTTAATATTGTTCCCATGCATCGCACGGGGTACACACTAATTTGGCTATAAGGAAAGGAAACTCATTGATTAAAATATAATTTTGTCAGTAGTCTTAATGTACAAGAGACTTTAAGACTCCACTTGAATATTATAAAACTTTTATTGAACATTGTACAATTTTTCTACGTATTATAAACTTTTATTGAATATTGTATCTTATAATATAATATTCTCCAAATAAATATATCTCGTGCTTCGCACGGGTCACGTACTATATATATCCCGTACATTTTTCTTTATTCATGTATATAATTATAAACCTGGATAAATAGCCGTAAAATTGTGCACCCCGTGCATCGCACGGGCTCTGTACTAGTTTCGTATAACAAGTTGTCAAAATAACATTTATAACTTAGATTTAATGAAAGATGGATGAGTTCAAAAAATAAATAAATAAATAAATAAATAAATAAAGAAAAACATCCATGGGGTGTATAATAGAATGTGTAAAACGTCGGCTATTCCAGGATTTGAGGAGTTAGATTTAAATAATGTTAAATTGTCAATGGCTAAATTTTCCAGAAATCAATTATGAGCAAAGTAACGTTTGCAAAAAATGGAAACACAATACTTTTACAACTCAAAAGCATGACAATGAGAAATGACCCTTGCCTTCCACTTTTCAGCCCATCTCTATATTATTAAAATTTGCGCTTATTACCAAACTAGTTTGTTACCCCAATTTGTGTTGTAATTATGTACGTAATTAATTTATAATTGAGTGTGTAATAATTTATAAAAACAACGATAAATTTCTAAAAGAGGTTCATGATTTGATATTCCATGTTTGAAAATATATTGTTGGATGATAAAGAAAACGTTTATGAGCCTACAACAACATATTAATATAAATTTAGATAATGCCGAAGTACAGTTTAAACAATGGGAAAATTTTATTGGAAGGCCTAACTTTTAGTAATTGTATTAATTTAAGGCCTTAATTTTGTACTTTTTCAATAGAAGACTTATATTTTAGGTTATTCTCACTTTAAGGCTTACATTTTAGTTAGCTTTCCATTATAAGGCCCAACTAACTTTACCTTTTCATATAAATATGTAAAACAATTATTATGTGAATAAAATTATTATTATTATTATTTTGTAATTTATATTTTGCATACTTATATTAAAAAATAATAAATATCTTTATTAAAATTATATTAATAAAAATTAATTTTGACTTTTCTTTTTGGAAGCAAAAGTTGATACTATGTCATTGCTTGTTGAAAATGATATATTTTTGTAGATTGCATTTATATATTATTTTTTAATTTTATTACATATTTATATTATTAATAAAAATAATATTTCCATTACATATTTTTTTTAGTTCACTTATCATTTTTTTAAATTATTCATGATTAAACTTTTGCATAAATATAATTTATATAGTATCGCTATATTATTAAGTAAATATTACTAAGGATATTTATTATAAGTATGTAAAATATAAACTAAATAAAAAATTATTTTTGTTCACATAACTATATTATTAAATAAAGTTAATTGGTTCACATATTTATATCAAAATATAAAGTTAATTGGGCCTTACAATGGAAAGTTAACTAAAAAGTGAGCCTTAGATTGAGAATAACCTAAAATATAGGTCTTCTATTGAAAAATAATAAAATTTAAGCCTTAAATTAATACAATATCAAAAAGTTGAGTCTTCTAATGGAATTTCCCCTTTGAACAATAGGAGCACCAGTGTCTTGAAGAGTGTGGCTCAAGTCAATACTCTTGATGCAAGTTCCGTCTTGGTTCAACCCTACGACAAATCCAGTTTTAGCTTCTTGTACAATAGTTTTTGTAAGAATAATTTCTTATCACCCTCGTGGCATGATTGGTAGGAAGGAATGACATGGGAATGGAATGATCATTCCCTTACTCATTCCTAATCCCATGATTGATATATTTTTTGGGAAAGAATGACCATTCCAATGGGAATGGCAAAACTAGCAGTGTCAAACGGGCCGGTCCGGTCCGGCCCGCACTAGCCCGCGGTTCAAACGGGGCGGGCCAAAATGGCCCACAGTTCTACGGGCTGGAAAATCCATGGCCCGTGGCCCGCCCTCATTAGCCCGCGGGCCAAATCGGCCCACCCGCGGGTTTTTTAGTATTATGCACTCTTATGTACTTTTTGGTTTATTTATCCTTATATTTACTAGTATATTAATAAACTAGTAAGGCTTCATGTGTAATGATGTTAAATATTTATCATCCATTGTACCAAAAAAAAATATTTGTTATCCAGTTTTTATTTTTATTTTTTTTATGAATAGTTATAGGGTATTGACGCGGAGGAGAGACTTAATTTACATAAAATATTATTTGATTCATTAATATTTTTATTATGTATAAAAGTGTTTCATGTGCATTCACAAATCTTATTATCATTGTCAAATTTTAAAAAATATAAAATAAATAAATATGGAAGAAGAAGAAGAAGAAGAAAAAAAAAAGACGATAGAAACAAACTCCAACAAAATGCACATGAAATAAGAAATATTAAATTTAAATAATATAAAATTAACAAATAATAAAAAAAAAAACGGGCTGGACCGCGGGCCGAACGGGGCGGGCCAAATAGGCCCGCGATTGAGCGGGCTGGCCAAGCAAAGGCCCAAGCCCGTCCATTTAGGCGGACGGACGGGCCAGCCCGCGGGCCATGGCCCGTTTTGACAGTGCTAGGCAAAACTCATCTCTATGGGATTAACCATTCCACAGTAAATAGAAGGTTTTCTCATTTTCATGTGTGTAGGAATCAACTTTTCAAAAAATAAAATAACAAATAATAATAAAAAATAAATATATAATATATATTATAAATCATGATTAAAATATATTAAATAAAATTATTTTTTAAAAAAAATTCAAATAAAAAAATTGAAAACTTACTTTTATTTATATTTTAATTAGATATTTTAAATACTTATATAAAAATAAAACTAAAAAAACATTCATATATAATTTAAAAATATATTATTTTATTTATATATATTATTAAAAATATATTATTTTTTATATATTAAAAATATATTAAAAATATATTATTTTTTATTAAAAATATATTATTTTTTATATATTAAAAATATATTACTTTTAAAAATATATTATTAAAAATATATTATTGAAAAATATTAAAAATATATATTATTAAAAATATATTAATTTATTTTTAAATATTATTAAAAATATATTATTTTAAAAAATAAAATTCAAATAAAAAATTGAAAACTTACTTTTATTTACTGTTTAATTAAAAAATAAATATATTATTTTATTTTTATATATTATTAAAAATATATTATTTTTTATATTATTAAACAATATATTATTCTATTTTTATATATTATTCAAAATATATTATTAAAAATATATTATTTTTAATATTATTAAACAATATATTATTCTATTTGTATATATTATTCAAAATATATTATTAAAAATATATTATTTTATTTTTATATATTATTAAAAAAGCATTTATATATAATTTATTAAAAGTATATTATTTTTTAAAAAAAGCTTTTATTTATTTTTATAATAAAAAATAATAATGTCATTCCATTCCAGTCATATTCCTTCTGCATATCAAACGTATCAATGACAAAATATGTTTCATTCTATTCCCATAATCATTCTATTCTTCAATTCATTTCATTCCTACGAAATTTCATTCCATCATACCAATCATGTCATCAGAGTTTTTTAAATATAGTGAATATGTGAACTGTCCAATTGTTGATCTAGCATAAAAATGTCTACCGAGACAAAATTGAAATTTTTTTATATCCAATCACACCCTCAATCCCATATTTATCAAATACTTCAGATTTAGATGAGTACATTACATATCTCAAATGTAAGTTGTACAAAATGCAACTCCAGGATTATCTACTTGAACATTTTGAGCATTTTATGATAAGCAATTAATTATATCTGGCGGAAGTACACGGCACACTATACTATTTGTTTTGTACTATACAAAGATGTTATAGGGAGAATCAATGGATATACGTGTAGCTTATGAAATTGTGATTATTCCTAAGCTGATCAAATGCATACTTTTCTCATAAACGGTTATCAACACCATATCCCAACAACCGAATTGCCCAAACTATAGCTTGTACTATGGAATAATTAAAAATAAATTTAATTTGTTTACTAATACTAAAACTAACCAACTTTTGTAGAAACAGAACAATAGTGTGTTTTACCTTAGACGTCACGATAACAATTACGTGGCTAATAGCAAATATGACAGTGGAACTCCTCTGATATGCACAGTTGGAAACAATCAGGAAGCATAATGTACCCATTAAGGGATTTGAAACACCAGCTTTGATGAGCATAATATGCTACAATACCTAAAGGACAGTAAATAATAATAATAAATAAAAAAAAAAACACTTTTAAGCAAATAAAGCCAACAAACAGTAAATAGTACACTCTTGTAGTAATGACACAACCTTTTCTGCAAATTATTGAATACTGATGGGTTGAGGCAAGTGTGGGCTATTAATTAGCTTAACTAATTCTTCTACTCTTGTTCTGGGTAAAAAAAGAACAAAAATGTCTAGTTCAACTATTAAAGAACATTTTGATATAAAATCTTGGAACAAATAAGATTACAGAAGTCAGAATATTACAAATCAGTGTATGATGCCAAAAAGTTAGGATAGAATCCAACTCATCTAACTTTTTCTACTTAGCTGATATTGTTTTAATTTGTCTTCCAATAATTTGTCCATGTCTCTGACAATCCTGCATGACAGAGAGCCATTGATGATTCACAAAATAAAATAATAATTAATCAAATTTCACATATTCTAGAAGAGCTAACTATTCAAACATAAATTACACAGCGAAAAGTTTCTGGGATATATGCGCTTAGCTGTTTGATGAATAATACAAGCCGGAACATTTATAGTGTATCGTCCAGTTAAGATTTTAGATAGTAGGAGTTTTAGAATTCAAATCAAGCTCCATAAAGATATACCTGGTTTGCACTCACCTTAAAAGCCTTGCTTTCTGCCATTAACTCTCAATAAATCTGACAACTCTGTTTCTCCAACTTAAGAGCATTTTCAAAAGCTCTTATAACATTTCTGCCTGCCAACAATAATACATAAGAAACTAAAAATGAGGCCCTTCAGATAAGTATACGAAAAACCTGGTGATTACACTTTTTTCTTAACATCAAATGCAGAATTGGACAGCCCAAGCGTTCCCTTTGAAATCACAAAATTACATCATAAAACACAACTATGAAAAAAGTAAAAACAAAAAGAAGAAGAAAGAAATATATTTCGTAGTGAACCACAAGAGAAAAGCAAAAAGAAAAAACAAAAAAAAAAAAGAACTTGAATTTAGCTCGTATGCCAAAACATAAAATGTCTCTTTAATTTCTCCATGAAGAAACTTGCACAATACAAATGTACACATACCTATATTTATTAAACAACATTTCTAGCAAGAAAAATGTCGATTCCCGCAAATCAAGATAGAATAATTCACATACGCACTTAATTTATAAACTCAGCAGATAATGAGGATAAAAAAATAAATACCATGAAATATATATGTACATTCATATGTGGAAGCATAGTTTTATAGTCAGATCACCAAAATTTGCACGACTGTCTGAATATTCCTTTTTTGCATCTTTTCCTCTATTTCTTTTTCATGAACATTGTGGCCTACAAGTCGGGTCCATATACATGGATGGATGTAAGGCTACTTTTTCTTAAAAAAAGTTGTCTTTATGTTCATCGGTGGGACTCATTACAAACCTTTCAGCAGTGATGTTGTCCATCCTTTTTAGGTAAATAAATATTATTTGGTTAGTGATTCAAGCTTTGCCAGAAATGTGGGTGGGATTTTGGTTGAATCTGGAACTCATGCTCAAAATAGTTTAAAAAAGGTAATACCATAATTGTTAGCCAATTTCATTTTGTATGAAGCATTTAAAGAATCATTATTCAGAAAATAATCTATCTTTCGTTACCTTTCAGGATTCTCCCCAAACGTAAAATTTTCGCAGGCAGAATTTGCCACATACAGAAACAACAATGTTGACTGCAACCCAACTGTATGTTGCAAAAGTTTATTAGCATCTCATAATAATCGTTTATTAGTGGTGCTTTTTCTCACTGATAATAGCAATGGGTCAAAAGTCATGCAACATTTTGAGTGGTAACTAATACTGGTCAGTTAAAAAAATAATATTGGTCAGTTCTTGAAATAATGGAACAGCCTCTAGTAATACGATACCTACCCGCTCAAGAACATCCTAACCTAAGTCGGGCCATGGAATTGTTTAACTCTGCCCCTAAACAACCGAAGTAATAGAGCATTTCTGAAAGAAAGGGGAAAAATTACAACTAATAATATAGTTTTGTGCTTAAGTCTCTCAATCCTGCCACATAGATAGATCAATGACACAAAGAGAGTAGAAGTCCATTGGTAAAGTGGAGTAGTGGTTTTTCAGCACTACGAATGGGTTTCTTTTGTAGTATCTCATGTTGATTAAAAAGGATTATACCTAACTTCCTCTTCCACTTTATTTTTCGTTTAAGTTTTGAAACCGGTTCGTAAGAGGGATGGTTCAAAGTACATCTCATTAGAGTTAGTTATGACAGTTATAACGGCTCGGGTTGTCTGAAGTCCTTTTTCATCTCATCGATGTTTCCACTTCAAAAATAAATCACCAAATAATCTCCAAATGATTAGGTAATGCAAAACTGTAATATAAGGGAAAGGTGACACAGAAACTCTTCAGATTTCGTATGTACCTGGAAGGAAGCAATTAAGGCTTTGGAATCGCTCCGTAACAGGACAATAAATAGAAGATCAATGAATTAACCATTAAATACTGATGAAGTTCAATTTCAAAGAATTTCCTCATGAGTACATCATAAATGAAATTAGCCAATTTGAAGAGGAATAAGCAAGTGGACCTCCTGTGATCACTTGAAAGAGAAACTTTACATATGGCATATAATAATAATTGTTTGGTTAATATGAGATTTAGGCTATGTTTAGTCATCAATGTTACGGTTTGTATACATTCCAAATTTAAGAATAACTAAAAAAGGATGCTAATGAAATAGCTAAATCACATAAAACAACTCAGTTATCTCTAACCTACAAATACTTCCTTGAGGTTCTTATTAATAGTTGAATATACGCACTATTACATGCAATCGGAAAAATAGAGACACATGTCAAGGGTATTATTGTAAGTTTGAATCACTAAACCGGATATAAAAATAGATTAAAAAAAAATTTATCATTCCAATAAGATTTTCCAGACAGAAGATAACTGAACTTTTAGTTGCAGCAGCGCAGACTGCCAGTTTTTTCCCCTACAAGATAAAGGCGAACCATTTAATGTGCAAAAAGAGACCATTTGCACATTGATTTGATGAAAATGCAATGCTTCTATTCCAACTTTTATGCACATTAAGCCAAAAACTAATTTTCACTAACCACACTTCTAGTTACGGCAACTGCTTCTTTTATGGTATAACCAGCGGCACCTGGATCACATTCAGTTCGAATAAAACCAAGTTTAGAAAAATTACCAGCGCTGTACACTTTCAGATTATCCCTTGCCTACAAAAAGACCATATGCAATAAGAACCTGATCATGGAAAAATTGTTGAATTAACTGACACGTGATGGAAACATGAAGCCAATAGGATAGCACAACATTACATTTCTGATTGATCATATTATGAATCCAAAATTCAAGACTTCTTCTATGTTATATTGTTGGTTTATTGTGAAACGGGAAATCACATATGTCCACGATGTAATTCTTCTTTTCTGGTATGCTTTTAGATTTGCTACGTAACATTGTGAACTCTTTTGCAATCAGTTGGGTACAGAGTCAATTATAAAACCAGCAAGATGGGCTTTGGGAGGATAGAGTGCAGGATTACTTAAAATCACGCTATAGGCATCATGGTAATTCATCAAAATAAAAAATTTTCCAAGGACCATAGAGTCTTCATAAATGACGCACACCAAACAAAAATGAGTAAATCACTTCCAACAAGTCAACAATGGGAAACTATTATTCAAGCTTGCAAGTTAAATCGGATGGCAATCTAATGTCATACAGGGCATGAACATAACACCACTTAGCTCAAATATGCTGATATGTATCGATTAAACAATATAGAAGCATGTGAGCCAATCAGTAAACATGGAAACTCAACCAGAGGTGATAACCAGACTCTGTCATTGAGGTTTTTGAACGAGCTCTCTATATCATTCATTATTTTTTAGCCTCAGTCAGTCTTTCTAATTTTCACTTGCCCACACATACGCATTAACCATTGATTCTTTTTCATTCCCTCATCTCTAATATATCATATTTGGCCTACCCCAACTTGCTTGGGACTAAAAGGCTATGTTGTATCTCTAATATATCATATTTGTGTGGTTCCTCAGGGGTCACTGGTAAATTTTTTTAGTAGTTCTGATAGTTCTCACAAAAATACAACTTGTTTGGGAACTGGTAAATGTAAATATCACCATTGGAATAGAATACTAAATGATGCCGTTGAAATGAAACTATGCAGGAAGCTCTTTATTCTGAAATGGAACGTGAAGACGCGTTTATGAATGAAATGCACAAGTCTGACGATAGAAATACAGAGCAAAACTGAGTAATTCACCCAAAAATACAAATTATTAACAGATAAGCAAGCACCAGCGAAAAGAAGAACGAATTAACAAATTATTGCCGATCGTCATAACTTCAGTAGTTTGGGGCGGTTACAACATGGCCAGCCACCATTCAATTACCAATTAAAACCTCAACTGAAATTCATAGACACGCTTGCCACCACAAAAGTTAACACTTGGGAATATTAATTTGTGATGCCCGACCACCTGGCACCTGGCACTGGCCATAATGGCTTTGATTGAGTAGATCCCGAGTACCTGCTCACAAAAGAAAATAGCTCAAAGTAAAGACCGCCATACATATGCTGTCAAATCATTTCAAACGTGAAGCCAACAACAATAGAAAAGCACATTTTTTTAAAGAAAATAGATTCCCTAGTGCAGAGATATCACATACGTGTTCGCGTTGATAGGATCATATACAAACACTAATGAAACGACGTCGGATGCGGATTCCTAATATCCAACAGCCGAGAATTTGCAGGTTGTAGATGGACGCGTACATGAATTCTTTCCCTTGTCCTTTCACTCATTGTCGAGATGGAGAGGAAATTCTGAGGGGGCGAAAGTTTTGTGCAAGCAAGGGAAGGCAATTTCTCTCTCCAGGCATCTCTCAACTCTTAAACATTGAACGTCGTCGTTTAGGCGTGCAAAATGGGCAACAATAAACGCTACGTGGCAGCCCAGCAAAAGCAATTGCAAACTTAAAAAAATAAAAATAAATAAATATGCCACGTGGCAGGCATAGAATACTCTAGCTTTTTGCCACGTGGCAGGCATAGAATACTCTAGCATTTTTGCTTATAAGAATAACTAGTTTGTTTCCAGCTTTGCACAGCACAGTCGGGGCCCAATTCCGATATTAAAATTGCTTTGATTAAGAAGTACATTAATATGATATAAGTCATAATTGTTTGTATTACTATTAGTGTACTCCGATTTTAAAATTGCTTTGATTAAGAAGTACATTAATATGATATAAGTCATAATTGTTTGTATTACTATTAGTGTACATGATGAGAAAATTTCTGAAACTGCCAATTTAATGAAATTGAAAGAATTTTAGAATACGAAGTAATATAAAAAATTTATCCAATCGACAAATGAATGTGATTTTGAAAAGAGTAGAAGAATTCTCGAAAAAATTTGAGATAGAGTATATGTACAAGTTTGTTTTCTCATCCATGATAGTGAAGAAACTAAGGTATTTCAGTGAATTAGCACACCGCATATTTTGTACTACTAACATAAATTTCACATTGTAACGCAGCGCAAAGAAAACCAATAATACCAAAAAAAATTATGTTAGAAAAGAACAATTTGAATCCTCAAAGTGAAGAAAAAGAATCAAATTTTAAAAGAGGTTGATGAGCTCATATAACATACGTGGAAATACATTGTCGTGTTGAAAAACTTCTCGCTCGAAGAATGGGCACAGGGCGGTAAGCGATTACACACGCTTCCTCCCGCCAAAAAAGGTCTTTATATTATGGATAGTATGGACGTGGTTCACACTTCACAAGTAGGCACCGCTCCCTTTCTTTGAAGTTGAAGCTTGGAAGCCTTTCCTGGTTAAAATAGAGTTTATAATTTCCAAGCATTAAATCACAAATTTTTAGCCATTATTGTATACGTACTTTATTTCAAAACTAATTCTTAATCTTGAATTTTTTTAATTTGATTACTTTATTATTTATAAATAGCGAATAGCTCACACTTCATTTTAATTTCACCCAAAATTATTTGCACTTAGTAAAGTGAATCATATTTAACCATACTAAATTAACAGTAAAAAATCTCTAAAAAGCAAACAAAATAAACAAAAGTGAATCGGCCTATTGATCATTCAATTTTAAAACAATGAAGTGTACAAAGTATATTCCTCTTTAATTGCTCACTCGTGTTTGTTTTCGACTATGCGCATCAATGTCGGGCCTAATTTAGATAATTTTAATTAATAAATATATGACTTATCTATTTGTAATAAAAATTTTGACCGTATGCTATTTTTCTATTTATATATGACTATTGTTGTGTTATATAGTGATTTTTTTAATCTGATAATGCAGTAATTATATTAATCCAAGTCAAGTCATATGTTAAGTTGAATTATATTTATTCTAGGACAATGTTTTGGGTAAAGTACGGTCATCCAAGTAAGCATTTATCTCAAGCAATTTCATGAACTACTTTATCATGTGGGGTTTTCTTTGTAAATTCATATTATACTTACACGTAAATATGAATGTTATACGATGGATCTTATGCCGCTATGATAATTAGGTTTATAAAAATGGGTCAGGACTTGGGGCTAAGTTCGTTTGACTAAGATTATGCAATTTTTTATTTTTATTTTTTTTCTATACAGTTTTTTTTTTTTATCATCTATACAGAATTTTTTCGTGCCATTGGAAAAGAGTGAAAAAGGGTAAGTATTGCTCACACTCTTCCAAAAATCTTAGTGACCAATCAAGAAATATCCGTACCAGCTTAAAATTGATAAGATCAATAGACTTGAGGATATCAAGTGTGTTGACGAAAAGTGATTACTATTTCTCATATAATCTCTCAATTCAAAATTGATTCCACTATCATAGACTTGAGGATAATACAATTCAAAATAAGAAACGAAAAGTGCTAACCGAACATAAACATATATATATATAACTACCTACCCTGTATATTGGCTTGAATTTATCCGCACTCTCCACCGAGTCATAGATCAACCCAAACCTCTGAAAATATAACTTTGATAAGCAATGTCATGAACATTTGAATGCACTTGTAATATGTGAATTATGTTCAAATAAAACAAATGGAGTTAACTACCAAAAGAATGACTATTAAAAGCTTATTAAATAAAACATCACACAACATTTCAATCAATATCAGACATTTACTAAATATAGCTAATTATTGCAATCTAACATTTACTAAATATATATACAAATGTCATATAGAACTACATTCTATAAATTATTATAGGAAGATTGTCACTCCACGAGCTCAATAAATGCAAAATTCATTAACAAATATATGAAGCTCACACTCCCAAGTCCCAGTGAAGATTTTACTTTTCTTTACCTCACTCTTCAGGTGGAGCCATGTATGCAGCTAAACAAATCCTCCATTGCCATTGCCGATAATAAACAGCCAGAGACCGTATATGTAGATATGTAAGGGTCTAAAAAGTACTTCACTGATATAAACTTCATGCAAGAAACTTAGCAACTTCAATATACACCTGTCTAATTGATCGCATATGTTATATATATATAAACTTCAATTATGGAGGATACTGAAGAAGAATTTTTATTTTTTTTTAAAAAAAAAGAAACTTACACAAACAAAGAAATGCTACAAAGTACAAACCTTTGTTGTAGCTTTTAGTGATTGAAAAACTTCATTTAAGGTCAGTACCAAAAAACTCTAGATGATGTTATAAATTGAAAACTCATTCACTGGAAGAGAAAAGTCTAATTTTCTAGATCTATACCTATAATAAAAATATCTAATAGCTTTTGAAAGATGATCCATCGTTCATATAAATAAAATGCAGAACACATTTGCACACTGATGGATAAAGTTCAAACCTATAAAAATAAATGAAAGAACCCAAATGCATAATGAATGGTCAATCCTATATAATCAAAAATACTATTCTAATTTCAAGCAAAACATATAACAATCAAACATAAAACCCAACCATTACATTGCTTGCTCCATCTTGGGGCCAATTTGCAGCGGTGGTCGTGTGAAATCACTGTTCCTTTTGCAAAAAATGGGAACAATAAAAATCATAAGAAATCTGTCCATGAAACATACACGGAGGCATCTCCAATCCATTTAATAAGCACTAATATCAAAGCGAAAAGCTAACCACAAAATAAAATTCCTTATAAATATAGTCGAACTCAACTTTATTTCATACAAAGCAATGAACACCTTAGAACTAAGTAAAAATAGAAAGAGTGACCAGCAAAAAAGACAAATATTGTATAATAATGCAAAAAAGAGTTACCAGAAAACTAAATTTAAGAACATAAAACCAAAATATGGAACACAAAATGTAAATGAGCACATAGTAGCACCTAAATGAGTTTACATGAAGCATTGGAAAACTGAAGACATCACCACCAACAACAAAACTATATTTTTTATTAGCATGCAAACCCCATAACAATGATCACCAAACCATCAGCCAAATAAAACAAACAAGTCGGATACCAGGTTGAAAAAGCACACACATCAACAGACACAAAATTATTTTTAAGTGTAGGTGCAGTTGAAAACCCAAACAACAATTGAACCAACACCAAATCAAAGAGTGCAACTAAACCCAAATACACATCCCAAAAAAACACAAACCCGGAAGAATGAGAGGAACATGATTTTGAAGAAATCTTCGTAAAGATGGTCTTCACAATCAAGAATCTATTGATTATGCTCACCATCAGATATAATGACTCGTGCACGAGCTCGATTTTGTAGTGCACCTATATATGTAAGCATGTAATATTATCAGGACACTAAAGCATTAAAAAAGTGAAAAAGGAAAATGCTTGATTTCAGTTTTAGGAATTTCAACAGAACTTTAAGATTTTTTTTTTTTTCTTTTTTACCTCAATCAGCCGGTCAATAAGGATCCCCCCTCATTAACTCATTTATGTCAGATTGATGTGCCATGTAGTTTGGTGGCACACAGCTTCTCCTCTGCAATTTGACAAGCATACGCATGAGCACACACAGAGACAGGTTCAGTTATTAAGGAAAAAAATGAGTTCCTTCCACTTAGGAGCTGGAGATGGTTTTTTTATTTAGTGTTTTGTACACACTCAAATAGTAACATAATTGGTATCATCAGCAAATGAGATTTAATCACTCAAACTTCAGAGGCAAAATGGAGAGATGATTCTAACCTTAGTCTTTATGTAGTATTCATGTATATCATCAATGTACCAAGTAACTGCGAGCGAGTTCATCTTATAGACACCATCTCATATCAAACACAGTTCATCTTCATCAATGTCCTCCATTTCAACTTTCACATCCTATGAATCAAATATAACAACATAAAGAAAGTGCATATTTATGAAACGGCCCAAGATACCAAATTTAACATATAAACTTAATACCATGCTATCACTTTCCTCCTGTAACGTAAAGGGCTAAAGACATGAATTCTGGGTGTTATCAGAGCACACCAGACCCTCTTGTAACCACTGCTTGGATTTAATCCAGGCAAGTCTGAATGCAGCAAAACCATAAAATCATCTATTAATTCCATAATCTAATAATTACCCCTCAAGCCTACATACCAAATGGAAGTAGAACTGCCAACAAATCTAGTATAAGCAAAATGTATTTGTTCATAGACATATTAAATATTTTGATATTGTACTTAATTTTGTTAAATTATGGGAAATAAAACATTATAAACAAAATTTTAGTAATTGCCGGCTCATCATCCAAAATCATATGTGAATTTGGATAATCAAAGAAATGAAAACCCTAAGAAAAGAAATAGATGCACCTTTGAAGCATTGTAGATCGTAGTCGTACTTATGCAGAGATTATACTCTTCCCACTCTCAGCCGCCTCGACCTATGATTGCTGTTTGAATTTGGGTGGCGCCTTTTAGAGAACTCTTGTTGCTGCCTTCTTCTTGGAGCACCTCTAGCAGCCCTTTCGGGTGGCCATACGTTCGTACAAAAGATAGTATCCCTCACCAATTTGACAAAGACAATCATATATCTGAGCCTAACATTCAAAGAGGAACCGACTATATAATTATTCAAAATATATATGCATAACTCCTTAAATTAGTGTCACAAAAATTTATAAAAAAGGAAAAAAAAAGTTAAGACAGTCGTAAAATGAGTTTGAGAACCTCCAAAATACTCAGACCAAAATATACTCACCTTTCTAGAAACCTGTGTAAATTCAATTTTCACTCATCCAGGCAAATACATCTTCGGTTCGGTTCTCACACAAGGAAAACCAATGCAATACCAGATCCTAGAAAATAAATTTTTCTTTCCAAAAAACATAAACATGCTAGCCTGTCGGTTCATACCAGAGTAAATCAAGTCAAGTAGACACAAAACTGACTCAAGAATGACCTTCATCCTTCAAATTGTTCTTGACGTCGGCCGAGTTATACTCTGCCATCGTAGCCCCTCAATTCACAGACCATCATCGGGAATCGAGTGCTAGGGCTAAACAAATTGTACTGGTACCTAAGGCAGAGGCGGCAGAGGATGTTTTCCGACGAGGGGCGCCAGGCGGCGACAAGTGTAGGGAGAGGTTGTGAGGAGAGAGGCAGTGCCGGCGCGGAGAGTGGGATGGTGGTGGCGACAGCGATATGAACGAAGAGTTAGCCGTGGATGTTGCCGGCGTAGGAGGAGAGGTTGAGGAGGGAGGCTAGGGCAGCTTCGGAGTTGAAGATGTTGACCTAGAAGATCTTTTCATTTTACCTAATGAGATTGAACAGCCAGTATTCTCTCTTGGAAATGATAGAAAAGGGGAGTGGGTAAAAAGAAGATTTTGTTGCGTGCAGAAGATTTTGTTGCCGTCGTTTGATAATAAAGGGGCTCCCCTCAAAAGTACACGTGCACGTTAGACAGGCTGCCCTTGCATTGGCAAAAAGAAGCAAATAATCAGTTTCAAAAATAAGTCCCCAACGACGTCGTTTAGGCTCAAATGGAGAGCAAAGAATGCGGCCACGTGGCGGCCAACAAAGGGGTTGTATGGTTTTCTTATAAGATAGAGGGAGACTAGTAGTCACTTGGCTGTGCACGAAACCAAGTTTAAGAAGATAAACAAATCCATTTCAAGAACAATAAAGAGAAAAAGAAAAAAATTTAATGATTTCTCTGAACGTAAAATGACTAAACCCACCACTCAATATTCTTACCTATGCAATATTGTAATTAATTCTAAAAAATACAAACTTTTCCGGGTGGACATATTCAAAATCCTCCAAACACGCAAAAGCCAGCTTAACTGGTGCAACATAAAGTAAATCTTGTAAATTTTGGATTAAACAAAGCACAATTCAACCAAAAATTAGAAGAAATGAGACAACAAAATGTACCTTCATGTGAGGTAAATAAATTTTGAAAAAGTAATACCCCGATGGCTGAGAATGAGATGGGCTCCCTCTCCAATGAGACATGAAACAAATTACTACATACCAAAAACGAAATATCAATTATGATAACCGAAAATGACCTTCACAATCCTCACTTGTTGGTTTCGTTTGGTGTTGGTTCTTGAAAATAACAGTTTTTATCAATCTGTGTTCATTTAATCCAATTTCCTGTGCTTGTGCTTGACAACTTATTTGCCCTTTGGTTCTTGGAACTAAAGGTATAAGAAATCTGAAAAGTAAGTTTAAACTTACCATGATAATTATTTTGTATCTTAAGTGAAAAATACAAGACTCTAATTGCTCATAGAATTAGAATAATCGAATTGCAAGTAGAAAACCTATCTTAATTGTCGTAGAACGGATATAGATGATTATGATTTCTTAACTGAAAATACAAGACTATGATTTACCATGGGACTCTAAATGTTCTAATGTTTATCCTGGAAATAAAGGCTGTTTTATTATGCTATTAGTGCTAAAACATAATGCTTAAAAAGAGCTCTATTAGCTTAATAAGAAAATAGTAGCAGCAGTGAAAAAAGAGCTCTATTAAAAGTCTCAAGATGGTATCTTGAGACTAACTATGTTTTAACAACCAATGATGTTTTAACAAAAGCATAAAACTAGCATCCACTAGTTAAAAGAGGCAAAGCAAATGCCTTTCAAGCCATAGATGTATTTTATAGCAGCAACTAACATAAGTAGAATAATAGTAATTTCTATTTTACTTTTTGTTTATTTTTTTTTTACATTCTTCTTCTCTTTTATCTGCATATTCCTTTCTTTAGTTTCCTCTCTGGCCCGTGCCTTAACCATCTTCTTGTAGCTTGCCTCATGCTTCACAAATTGGGAGCGGGTTAGGTAGATGAATTTGGAGCACCACCTGTATTCATGCTCGGCTACCTAGTTCATGCTGAACCAGGTGGCCGGGCTGAACCAGGGGCCCAGGTTGAACCAGACGGCCGGGCTGAACCAGGTGGCCGACCATGAATGCAGGTGGTGCTCCAAATTCATTTACCTAACCCGCTCCCAATTTGTGAAGCATGAGGCAAGCTACAAGAAGGTGGTTAAGGCACGGGCCAGGAAACTAAAGAAAGGAAGAGACAAATAAAAGAAAAGAAGAATGCCCAAAAAAAAACACGAAGTAAAATAGAAATTCCACTATTATTCTACTTATTCCACTATTATTCTACTTCTGTTAATTGCTGGCTTGCTGCTATAAGATAGATCTATGGCTTGAAAGGCATTTGTTTTGCCTCCTGTAACTGTGGATGCTAGTTTTATGCTTTTGTTAAAACATCATTGGTTGTTAAAACATCATAACATCATTTGCTGCTGCTAGTCTCAAGATACAATCTTGGGGATTTTAATATAGCTCTTTTTTCAGTGCTGCTATCTTTTCTTATTAGCTTAATTAATAGAGCTCTTTTTAAGCATTATGTTGCTGCTAGTCTCAAGATACCATCTTGAGACTTTTAATAGAGCTCTTTTTGCAGTGCTGCTATCTTTTCTTATTAGCTTAATTAATAGAGCTCTTTTTAAGCATTATGTTTTAGCACTAATAGCATAATAAAACAAACTTTGTTTCCAGGATAATCATTAGAACATTTGGAGTCTCATGGTAAATCATAGTCTTGTATTTTCAGTTAAGAAATCATAATCATCTGTAGCCGTTCTACGACAATTAAGATAGGTTTTCTACTTGCAATCCGATTATTCTAATTCTATTAGCAATTAGAGTCTTGTATGTTTCACTTAAAATACAAAATAGTTATCATGGTAAGTTTAAACTTACTTTTCAGTTTTCATATGCCTCTACTTCCTAGAACCAAAGGACAAATAAATTGTCAAGTACAAGCACATGAAATTAGATTAAATGAACACAGATTGGAACTGTTATTTTCAAGAACCAAGCCCAAAATTGCAATTTTCTTGCATTTCTCTTGCATTTTCTTGCATTTTCTTCCCAGCTTCCCTTGGATTCTTCTTCGGATGCCTTAGCTTCCGAGCAAAGGATTTATAAATAGAGATGGTACTATCAGCCCCCATTCTACGTCGAAAATACATAACCTAATTCATCAATGAAAAATATCATTTAGGAATAATCAATAACTATTTATTAATAATATTAAAATAGGAGAATTAGAATCTACAAACCCAATGCTGCAAGTCTCCAATGGTTTTCGTCAATATAGAATGCCGTTCAGGGATTGGAAGATGTGCATACACGCCTTTGTATTCCTGAATGATAACAAAAAACAATATATTTATTTATTACAGTTTAATGACATAAGAAATTATGAGCATGTATGCACTATATATATAATTTTACCCGCCAAAACGATCTCCTTATAGATACCATTTCATCACAAACTCCTGTGACGAACATCCTGATTAATGGCAACTCTTTCATAAAAGGGATGATAGCACGAACTGTGCGTATGGTATCTACAACTTCTGAAAATAGTTGCTCAACAGGCAGCTGCTCTAGACACTAAACATAAGCATATACATAATTAAGTTATATTAAATAAAAGAGTATATACATTAGCTTTCATGTTATATATGATGAATTTACTAAACATAAAAGATTTCTCACCTTAATTTGTCGCTCTAAATAGCCTGAAGGATCCACCTCTATACCTTTCTCTGCCTTCAGTGCTTCATACTCATCTTCAATTTTTAAAATTTGATCCAGTAGTGCATGTGCCACATCCCGAACTCTAGAAGGCTTATAATAGAACTTCTACAAGAGGGATTTAGCAAAAAAAAAAGTCAAAAAATCAAAACATATTCAAAACTAACTAAAAAAAATAATTCCAAGAAACAAAGGAACCAAAGGCAATAAATTTAAACCATCCAAAAGTTCTTAAATGACTGAGTTCTAAATTTGCGCACAAAGTACTAATCTAAATACCAGATTGATATTTTTTAAACTTAGTAAAATTTGTTCTAAAATCTCTAATTTAGTTATCTTACCCCACGGCTGTCGATGTCAAAACGTATGCACTCCGCTACACATGATGGATCAATCTCATCCTCAGCTCTATCGATCTCAAAATCAGAGACGATACCACTCGCAGCTATCACTTCTTGGATTTCAATTTGCGTGCGGCGTAACTTATTTTCTTCTTGAAGTCCTAGCTTCTGGCGAACAAAAGAAAATATTAGACAAAATAAAATATTAGACAAAATGAAATCATGTCAGCACTAGCCATAAAAAAGAATCACACCTCGTTCTCTCCTTTGAGCAAAATCCGGAACCTGTGGAGTGTGCGTGCTGACCAGTCACACGCTAAAGAGAGATAGAAGCAGTGATCAACTGTATGTTTGAGAAATGATGTAATGTCCTGTTTACGTAAACGAAAGCTAGGGTCAATAAAAAGATGAATATATCATCAATACATGTTACATGTGTAAGTTTTTCTGTGTGTATACCATTACACTCTCAAATAAGGATCTTGTGCGCTCAGCGAAGTCGTTGAGCTCGTCAATCATGGTGCTACATTCATCGCAGGAACACACCTTACGAAAACTATAATTGGGTGGAAATATGTTCGCCGACCAAACGTTTAATATTCTATGTGGCTTCCAGTAGTCGACTTTTCCATGAGACATACATAGAAAATATTAGGCAATGGGATAAATGTAGAAGTTCGGCAAAAAAAATCATGTTTACTAAGATTATATAAACAAATAATGTTGGGGTGGAATTATATGTAACACTAGAAAATCAAGCAAGAGTTATTGGTTCCATATCATAGAAGAAGCAAGCAAGTATATATATAACCAACAAGTAATAATCACGAGCAACTATATTAAGCCACTAACATTTCGGTGAAAAAAAAACTCCCAGATAAATGGCTGGCTTAAATACTCGGATAAACATTCTATTGCTTATATCATGGACATAAACTAGGGAGCAAAAAAATTGCAAAGTATTGTAAGAGAAAACAAAGGATCTGGCCGTAGCACAACCAAATGACATATTAAAGTACAAGAAAAATTAACATAAGTAAATACTGAAACGACTTAACCAATTAATATTTGCTAGCTACACGTATGAAGAATATTGCACCACACATTATAAGTCATACTCTACTTTTTCGAAAAGCCTACCTTCTATGAAATTTTCTGATTCAACTTGCACTGCTTGTGACATAGTTTGTTCTACCTCAAATAAACCTGACACCCACCACGAAAGTTAGATAGGAACAAGAGAAAAATGTTATTCTGCCAACAGGGGAAAAAATCTAGACAAGGAAAGAGTAATAAAAAAAAATAAGAAGTATACCAGATGGACCAAGCTGCAAGTCTTCCATGCAATCCGCAATATCTACAATTTCAGAGGGAAAAAAAAAATATTAACAAGACAAGTGAAATCAAACCCACGTACAAAATTATAAAAATGGCATATGACGTTAGACCTGGACGAGGAGGCTGACCCAATCCCGACATGGTTCCTAGGAATAAATAAAAAAATGAAATTTCAGAAAGTATGAAAAACTAGGGCAAGACCGCAAGAAATTTCGGCAAGACCGGTGACGACGAGCGAGACCGCCGTGAGAGCTCAGACTGTAAACGAGAGGGGTGAAGGAGAAAAGAGACAACGGTGACTTGGTAAGAAAGATTTTAGAAGTGCTACCTGGTTAGAGAGACGACGGGCTGCGTGAGTTCTTGAGGGTGAGAGACAGAGAGACGACGGGGAGGGGTTGTGAGTTCTTGAGAAGGGCTATGTTATTGTTAAATCCTCTCGTGGAGCGAGAGAATCAGGCCAGCCCACGCAAACTGCCTCGTCCCAACATAATAAAAGTGGGCCTGGAGCCCGCGGTATTGGCAGGGGATTGCGGCCACTAGGGCCCACATTACGAACAGGAGCACATAGTTCATTGTGAAGACAGCCACATTGAGCCCGCCAGTTAAGTCTTTCTCGTTCGGCTTGGGCCCGACTAGATTACTCAATAACCTACGGATCACTATTAATTTAGACTAAATAAAATAATCAATTATTTATAATTTAATAAATTACTCTACTATATTAATTTTGTTTATTTGAGTAGTTTATACAATAATAAAATATTTCAAGTAATGAAACAATATAAATTTTATATTTATACTTATTATTCACATAAGTTGTTAAATATATAATAACATTTTACCAAAAGTAACTATTTTATGGAATCACATATAGTCAAATCGATTTTTTGAATAAAATTTTTGAAATGATACTTATTTTGAAAGGAATATAATGTAATTTATTATCAGTTATATGCATCGCATGGGTTATATACTAATTTTAAATAGACATTTTTATGTACTTTTGCACAATCTAAACTTTATATAACATTTTCAATAACTTAATACACGTAAATTATATTACATATTGATTCCATATTTTTAATTTATAAATATTATTTAATAAGAATTTTTAGTTTATAAATATTAATGAATATCTCTTACTCGTGCACTGCACGGGACTCATACTAGTTTGAGTAATTAAGGTATCCATAAGTGATTATTTATACCATAAATTGTTAAATTAATTTTTCAAAATTGTAAATAATTTTTTTTTTGGAGGAAAATAGATATTATTTAAAAAATAATCAAACCTTTATATATGTATATATATAGATTTCTCTTACTTTTACATAAAATCAACTTTAATTGTTTATTTTAAATATTATTTTAATATAAACTCGAAATTCAATTAACAATTAACCATACCAGATTTTTTAAAACTAACCATAGTTAACAAAAATTCATTTTGACTGGATATATTTGTACCAAGCACATCCTAAACCACTCAAAATGAACAATAAAAATACCGAAAGACCAAAATTTCGGATGGCACATTTCTAGAGCATTGTTTTAAAATTCGGACTGGCCTAACGGGTCGACTTGGGATCCGGTTCATTGGGGCTGGGACCGGTTTGGGTATATTGTTTGGATTGGGTTGCAAGGGACCCGACACTGACCCGGTCTACCCACGTATTGATTCGACCAGACCAACTCGGTTTTACCCGGTAATTAAATACTTCTATTTTTTATTTTTTATTATATATATATATATATTTGGTGGATATTGATGACACAAATACAATATTATTAAGACTTTGGAGTATAGAATTTATATACAAATAAATTATTTTATTAGTTTATATTTATGTATAAGCTAAATATAATATAAATATAATTCATAATTTAATAAAATTAATTATCCATTTCAGCAATTGATCAGGTGACTCGGAATCCATCCCGGGTTGGTCTGAATTTAAAATACATAAAATTATTACAAGGGTGTGTTGATACATAAAATTGATTTTTCGAAACTAACTGTCTGTCTCATTTTTGTTGCGTTTTTCGTTATTATTTTACCTTTCTTTTTCCCCCGTTTTAGGACTTTTGGTTAGTTTTTATTTGTTTTTATAGGTTATTGTGTGTTTTGCTTTGTTTCGATTTTCTTTTTGTTCCTCGTGTATTTTTTTGGTTTTTCTCGTCTTTAGTGTGCAGGTTGAAAGATTCGTGAGGATTTATTTTTCACGATAAGTGGACCAGGTGAGTATAATTAAGAAGAGAGTTTCGTTAGCATCACACAGGAAAAAGCGGAATCAAATTCCGATATCGGACGAGCTCAAACGAGCCCGAGAGGTGAAGTTGTGCATGGAAGCTAACTATCAGGCCCAGTGTCACGCGCATGCCGCGCCACGACAAGCACCACGACACCGACTGAGACCCTGCTCTTGCCCTCGCACCCGTTAAGACCTGCCGCGCCGCTACACCACACTGCCCCGCGCCGCGAGGACCTGCCGCCGCGCCGCTGCACCGATACTCTGCCACGCCGCGCCAGTGCCACGAGACCAACAGAGAAGCACGTCCAGCAGTCTGCCGCGTCGCGTCCTCACCCCGCACTGTGAAGGCTGATTGTGCCGCACCGTGACTGAGCTCCGCGCAGCGAGACAGCCCTTCTCCGCGCTGTGACTGAGCTCCGCGCCGCGAGGCAGCCCTTCTCCGCACTGTGACTGAGCTCCGCGCCACGAGGCTGCCCTTCTCCGCTCTGTGCTAGGATTTCCACGTCACGTCACTCGCCTATCTATAAATACGGGATCGCGATCAGAATATCGACATTATCTCTCCTCCTGGGAGTAAAATCCCTAGACCCGATAACTCCATGACAGAACTCTTTTCTCTGCTTCTTCTTCTTCGTTTTTCCTCTTCTTTACATTTTTCTCTTCCATTTTTCTTTTTTTTCTTCTTAGTATTTAGGAAGTAAGCTCGTATCTTGGATTCAACAACTGGAATTTGGATTTATTGTAAGTTTTTCTCTCTTTATTAATTCATGGTTAATTTGAGAGTAATGATTATGTGTGTTGAATTCGTTATACGTAGCTAATTCTGATTGCTAGGGATAGGGGATGATTATTCTTGTTTGAATTGTACTATCGGGCTTGATTCGTTCGTGCTTATGTGAGTTACATAAATTCAGAATTGATGTAGTCTTGCTTGATTGATGGATATAATCGAAGAGTGACACTTCGATCTTGCAATTGGAAATATGGAATATTTATTTGTCGAGTTAGGGTTTGTCAATTCTATATGATTAGTTGATTAATTACCTTCTAGTTAATTAGCGACTTTTAGAACCGAAAGGGGAGAAGTCGTAAACTTAGGCTCGCATGAGGTAGATGATTTCGTAATTGAATAGTCTATAGATTCTGGATTGAGATACGTGCTTGTCGATGTCCCGTCCCTTTACGAATAGTTATTGGGATTGGGATAATTGACCTGTGTCGTATGCTCAAGTTTGTTCGTCTATGTTCAATCCCTTGTTACGAATAGTTATTGGGAGCGAACCGCTAGATGTTTAAGCGAGAGCGTCAATCTGGAATAGAATAATTTATGTCTTGGTGTGCGAAAAAAACTTGAACTAATTATCCCCGACTCACTAGCTTCTTCATCTTTATTCGTTTATATTTTATGTAGATTATTATTTTATTTTATTTCTTAGTTAATAATTCATCCAATCTGCTATCTGATTAGAGTGTTTAGGATTTCTTTTTGTGTGTTATCGATATCATAGCTAAATTCCAAACCGCTTTCCTCGAGAGATCGACCAGATAGTGCTCCTTGATCCTTGCCTCGAGCAGACATCGAGAGCCGTACTCGTGGGTTCCATACTATAATTACCCTTATTTATCTATTGTAAGAATGACAAATTGGATTTATTGTTTCTATAATAACTCTTGACTTGTACTAAGAAGCCGAGTTGTTCATTATATAAAATATAGGTCATTCGAACTCATTCACTATTTAACACATTTTTACTTAAGGAATTTTCCTAACCCGTTGTTACTTATTTATAACAAGTTGTCGGAATAACATTTATGACTTAGATTTAATGAAAGATGGATGAGTTCAAAAAATAAATAAATAAATAAATAAATAAATAAAGAAAAACATCCATGGGGTGCATAATAGAATGTGTAAAACGTCGGCTATTCCAGGATTTGAGGAGTTAGATTTAAATAATATTGTCAATGGCTAATTTTCCAGAAATCAATTATGATCAAAGTAACGTTTGCACAAAATGGAAACACACTTTTGCAACTCAAAAGCATGACAATAAGAAATGACCCTTGCCTTCCACTTTTCAGCCCATCTCTATAATATTAGAATCTGCGCTTTTTAACAAACTAGTTTGTTACCCCAATTTGTGTTGTAATTATGTACGTAAATAATTTATAATTGAGTGTGTAATAATTTATAAAGACGTATAGATTGACAAAATAAAGGTTAAAATATAAAAACAATGATAAATTTCTAAAAGAGGTTCATGAATTGATATTCTATGTTTGAAAAAATATTGTTGGATAAGAAAGAAAACCTTTATGAGCCTACAACAACAATAATAATATAAATTTAGATAATGCCGAAGTACTGTAGTTTAAACAATAGGAGCACCAGTGTCTTGAAGAGTGTGGCTCAAGTCAATACTCATGATGCAAGTTCCGTCTTGCTTCAACCCTATGACAAATCCAGTTTTAGCTTATTGTACAATAGTTTTTGTAGGAATAATTTCTTATCACCCTCAGAGTTTTTGAAATATAGTGAATATGTGGCCTGTCCAATTGTTGATCTAGCATAAAAATGTCTACCGAGACAAAATTGAATTTTTTTTTATATCCAATCACACCCTCAATCCCATATTTATCAAATACTTCAGATTTATATGAGTACATTACATATCTCAAATGTAAGTTGTACAAAATGCAACTCCAGGATTATCTACTTGAACATTTTGAGCATTTTATGATAAGCAATTAATTATATCAGGCCGAAGTACACGGCACACTATACTATTTGTTTTGTACTATACAAATATGTTATAGGGAGAATCAATGGATATACGTGTAGCTTATGAAATTGTGATTAATCCTAAGCTGATCAAATGCATACTTGGCTCAGAAACAGTTATCAACACCATATCCCAACAACCGAATTGCCCAAACTATAGCTTGTAGCCTTGTACTATGGAATAATTAAAAATAAATTTAATTTGTTTACTAATACTAAAACTAACCAACTTTTGTACAAACAGAACAATAGTGTGTTTTACCTTAGACGTCACGATAACAATTACGTGGCTAATAGCAAATATGACAGTGGAGCTCCTCTGATATGCACAGTTGGAAACAATCAGGAAGCGTAATGTACCCATCAAGGGATTTGAAACACCAGCTTTTTTTTTTTTTCCAACGATAAAAGAACTTACATAACACCTCAATAAAGAAACAATATTCGAACTACCAAGTGGCAGTATACAACACAGGGGAGCAAAACACATAACACCCCTTCACCAAATAAAGCTGGACCACACACTTCCATATTACTCAATATCAACAAATACAAAAGAAGAGAACTCCTGAGCAAGAGCTAGAACATCAAAAGCTAAAGTACTACAACAGATATCAAAAGGACAATGTTTACTTTGTAACTTAAGCACAAGACTCTTGTTTTTCAGTTTACAGCAGCAGTGATCCCACCCAGCTTGTAAGGCTTGTTGCATGGCCCATCTCACTGATTCCAACCAGCTCCCATCTTTGCAGCCATCAAACCAGGTAGTTCCACTGATAAGTATAGGAGTCACTCCTTCTGTTTATGCTACACATGTCATCTCCAGTTGATTCAAGGTGGAGCATGAGGCACTGACTTGAAGAGACCAAAGACCTACCTCCATTGAAAATTGCTCCCCTGAACCACAATTATTGGACCCCACTGAACTGACTTTTTCCTTGCATATTGTCTGGGCTTCCACAAATTCTAGCCATTCAGATTTTGCCCCCATTGCAATACTTAGTTCACTCATTTTTTGTTGCTGAAATACCCATAAATTTCTGGTCTTCCACAACCACCAGAGTATGTAGGAGGAGAGGCTTATTCTGTCTTTTCCATGTCTGGTTTGAGCAGCACCACATATGTCCTCCCACCAGGTGCAAAATGAAGAATTTTGATCTTGCTGTCTACTCCAAGTGACCCCACTCAGCTTCCATACTCTAGCAGCTCTCTCACAATTAAATAACAGATGGTTCAGATCTTCAGCTTGCATTCCACACACAGAACAAATATCATCAATTGGGATTTGCCTCCTGCACAACTGCTCATTTGTACTGAGGAAGTTAAAGCAGCATTTCCACAAAAAATGTTTTATTTTGTGTTTAATAGGAAGCTTCCACAAAACTTTCCAGCATTTAGCATTGACCCCACTCCCAGAGCTAGAACTAGCTTCACTTCTCCTCAGCATCTCACCCCTCAAAAATTGCTCATAATAGTTTTTAACATTAAAATTCCCATACTTACCAAACAACCAGAACAGTTTATCCCTCTTCCCTACCCTAGACAAAGGGATTTTAAGAATAAGCTCAGTATCTTCAAGGCAAAAAGACTGATTAACCAAATCCCTATCCCACCCTCCACTCTCAACACTCACTAAATCACTAACTTTCCTCAAAATGCCCCTATCCCCAGCAAAAAAACAAATGGGTTTAGGATTAACAGCCCTAGGGAGCCAAGGATGCTCCCAGATAGATATGTTTCTACCATCCCCCACTTGGAACCTAGCTCATACTTTCAATAATTTCAGCACCCCAACCCAACTCTTCCAGAGCCAAGAATCCCCATTCTTAGGCTTGACATCCCACAAACTAATATCATGAAAGTATCTACCCTTCAATACCCTACTGATGAGCTGATTTGGTTGAGTTATCAACCTCCAAAGCTGTTTGACCAGCAGAGTATCATTGAACACCCTTAAATTTTTGAAACCAAGCCCCCCAGCTGCCTTAGGTTTGGAAAGCAACTCCCAATTAGCCCAATGAATCTTGTCCCCCACCCTGCTCATTCTTACCCCACCAAAAGCTAGCCACAGCTTTGCAAATATTTTTACAGATACCCACTGGAATTTTAAAACAAGACATAACATATATATGTGGGAAGAGCTTCAATCACAGTCTTAATAAGAATCTCCCTACCAGCAGTACTCAAAAAGTTATTTTGCCAACAAAAAAGCTTAGAAACAACACACTCCAAAACAAATTTAAAAGTATCAATTTTAGACCGACCAATACCTAGAGGAAGACCAAGGTATTTAGAAGAAGACACACACTTAATACCCAAAAGAATTTGGCAGATTCTGGCTCTGGATCTGGCTGGTGTGTTTTTAGAGAAAAGCACAGAGGATTTATCTAGATTAACACATTGACCAGAGGAATAACCAAAGATATCCAAAATATGCAAAATCAAAGAAGAATGAAAGGGATCAGCATTACAAAACAAGAGAGTATCATCAGCAAACAATAGATGGGAGATAGAAGGGGAAAACCTACTAATCTTAATGCCTACATACAGATTTTGGACACTGGCTTGATGAATTAAAATAGATAAGGCTTCAGAAAGGATAATGAACAGATAAGGGGAGATGGGATCCCCCTGCCTAATACCCCTAGTGGGTTTAACAAAACCTAACACCTGCCCATTCACATTGAAAGAAAAAGAAGAGGAATTAATACAAGCAAAAATCCAGGACACAAAAGAATCAGCAAACCCCATTTTCTTACAGACATTGATCAAGAAAGGTCATTCTACTCTATCATAAGCCTTGGCCATGTCCAATTTGACTGCCATAAGATGTTTAGAGCCTTTCTTTTTACTATTAATGAAATGGAGACACTCATTAGCTAGGACCACATTGTCCAAAATTTGTCTCCCAGGCACAAAAGCTGCCTGAGAATCATGAATACAAGGACTCAACACTTTTTTCATCTTGTTGGCTATGAGCTTAGATATGATCTTGTAAATGACAGTACACAAAGCAATAGGTCTGTAATCTGACACCAAGACAGGGTTGGACTTTTTGGGAATCAGAGTTAACACAGTATGATTTATCCCTTTGGGCATAGCCCCGGATTCAAAAAAATTCAGAATGGCTGAACAAAGATGAGGTTTCACTATCTGCCAACAAGATTGAAAAAATTGGGTGGTCATACCATCAATACCTGGAGCTTTTGATGGTTCCATACTCTTAACAACATCATAGATCTCCATCTCTGTAACAGCCTCAGTCAACATTAGATTCATCTCCTCTGTAACAGTAACAGATATCCCATTCAAAGCACACACATCCAAATCTGGATTAGTAGAACTGAAAATATTATGAAAATAAGATTCAAGTTCTCCTACCACTTCCTTCTCATCAACACACCTAACTCCTAATTCATTCACCAGATTATGGAAACTACTCCTCTTCCTCCTATTATGAACCGAAGCTTGGAAAAACTTGGTATTTTTATCTCCCTCCCTAAGCCATTGAATTCTAGACTTGTTTTTCCAGAATTTCTCCTCTTCATGATAAGCCTGATGAAGTTTATTCCTCCACTCACTCCACTCTTCCCAATTTCTGCTACCTCCTAGACCCTCCAACTCTCTCAATTTTTCCTGACACATAGCAATCTGCTTGGCAGAATTAGTGGACTGAGATCTATTCCAGTTTAGCAAAGCCATCCTCACATTTCTAATCCTCTGTTGAATACTATAGAGTGGTTGTCCACTAACAGGAATATTCCAAGCTACCTCCACTACTCTATAAAAGCCCTCCTTATTAATCCACCTAGCATCAAATACAAACCTCTTGGGTTTAAAGTTCATAGTACAATCACTCTCCAACAGCAACATACTGTGGTCAGAGGATATAACAGGCAGATTCTTAATAAGGGCATTGGGGAAGTATGAGAGCCAATAATGAGAGAAAAAGAACCTATCAAGCTTGGCTTCTATAAACTCATTCCCTTGTCTAAGATTAGACCAAGTGAACTGGGATCCCTGGACTAAAACCTCACTCATACCCATTTTTTCAACCCAATTTCTGAAAGGCTGAAAACTTGCTTGCTCTCTAATACACCCACCCGACTTATCTTGGTTTGACAAAATAGCATTAAAATCACCCCCCACAAACCAATAATCCCCCCAAGACTCCTTCAACCTAGTCAAAACATCCCACTGGACATTCCTATCATCTATATTAGTACTAGCATAAATGAAAATCCCCCATTGAATGAAATCAACACCCTGACACTTAAACTTGACCCCAATACAAAAATCAAGGCAAAAATAATCCAAAATACTAATACTAGCAGACCAAAACACCCACATGCCCCCCTAGTACCAGTAGGGTGACAATACAGCCATCTATCTTCCAATTTTAGTTTTTTACAAACAGTAGAAACAAATTTTTCTTTTTTTTTTTTTTACTTCAGACAGAAAACATAGATCTGGGAGATGAACCCTAAGGGCTTCTCGCAATTGGGAAATTGTAGAGGGTCCTCCCAAACCTCTACAATTCCACACACATACTTCCATTTAAACCCTTGGGACCAATTAGGGCTGGTCTCCTCCACCACAGAAGCATCAACGGAATTCGAAAGTTTAGGTTTTTTCTTAAGCACCTCCTCACACCCAGTTATAGTTGGACTTTGAAAGCTCTCAGTCAAATTTCTTTTATTACCAATTTTTAAAGAAGAAGTGCTGCCTGTAAGGCCTATGGAAGGTTCAACAATCATATCCTCAGGTATGCTGGGGACAGTTTGTTTAGGTTTTCTTCGGGCATACTTCTTCTTTTTTTGGATACCAAGATTATCATGAGATTCAGGATTGATTGTCACCTCTACCAACTGACTCCCTAGATCAACATTAAGAGCAGCAGCCAATGGGGGGTCAGATGGCATGGGATCAACATATTCAATATCATTTTTCCCAGCCTCGACACTACCACTAGCTGCTATATCTGCAATCCCACTTCCTTGCCCAACAGGGGAGGATTCACCTCTACATGAGGTTTCACCAATAATACCACCAGCATTGTCAATCTCCTTTGGAAGGTTATTGACATTAGGTGTGTCCCCAGAACTATTTCCCCCAGACTCCCAGGACTTACCACTTCTACCTTCACCACCCCAGTTAGAGTTGGTGTTTGTACTATTTTTGTTACGTTTTTCGTTATTGTTTTGTAATTCTTTTTCCCTGTTTTAAGTTTTTTTGTTAGTTTTTAGTTAGTTTTGTGTTTTATTATGTATTTTGTTCCATTTTGGTTTTCTTTGTGTTTTTCGTGTGTTTTTCCGGTTTTTCTTCGTTTTTGGTGTGCAGGTCAAAAGTCTCGTGAGGAGTCGATTATAGACCGGGCAATCATGGTGGACTTATTGGCTACACATAGGAAAAACCGGAATTTGATTTCGAGTTCGGATGAATCCGGACGGAACCAAAATGCGAAGCCGCGCAAGTTACCGACCCTTTTAAAAGTTGGAAATTCCACAAAATTTGTATCCTGGGCAAAAGTGTGGTTTTAAAGCATCATTGGATAGAGGGGTTTGTTAGCTACGCGTAGGAAAAAACGGAACTCAATTCCGAGTTCGGACGAGCCAAAACGAGCCAAAAACGTAAAGCCGCGCAGTGCAGTCGCGAGAAGGCCGCGAGTTGGCAACGATTTTTCTCACTTTTCTTCACTTTTCTTCCTTTTTCTCCTTGGTAGATGATGGTTGTTGATGATAGTGTTGACAATGGTTGATAGTGTTGATATTGGTATGCTACTTATCATCTATAAATACCCACTTCATTCATCATCCAAACCATCTCCTAAAAATCCAAATTAATCACAATCCAAATTTATCACAATCCTTTAATCCTTCCATTACTTTCACTTAGTGTGTTTCTAGATTAGTTCTTGTGTTGAATTTTGGAGGTGTTCTCCAAGGCTTGTACTTGTTCCGGTTTGGCGTGTATTTATTCTCAGTTTGGCGTTTGTATCAACTTTATTCATCAACTTGGATTACATGTAAGTTTTCTTTCTTGTAATTATAATTTGCAATGAATCTTATGTTGAGTTTATTTTTGATATGAATAGCTAAATCATTAGCTAGGGGTAGGGAATAATTATTCCGGTTTAAGCTCGTTTATACGCATGTTGATAATTCCATCTTGACGAGTTGTTTTAATCATGAATTAATAAATTAAACTTGGTAAATCTTTATAACCTAAGAGTGACACTTAGGTTAATTTTATGATATAATCAAAGAGTGACACTTTGATTTGTGCTTGATATTGATTTATTAAGTTAAAGTTTGTTAATTTTGTGAATTACAATTTGTAGAACCGAGAGGGGAGGAGTTGTAAAAAAATAATCTATTTCATAACCGAAAGGGGAGAAATTGATAGAACTTGGCTCGTTTAGAATAGACATGTTCGGAGACGTATTGTCTATGTGTTAATTGTTTCGTTAATTTGCTCGTTTATGTTTTTCCATATATTACGAGAGTTAGTATGGTTGAACTGCTAAATGAGTTAGTTAGTTGAACTACTTAACCGAGTTATTGATTGTCGTTGAATGAGTGTAAAACCGGAAGTGATTTATTCCCGATTCCCTAGCTTCTTTATTATTGTCTTGTTTATATTTTTAGGTAGATTATTATTGTTATTTCTTAGTTGATATTTTAGTTAATTATTATTCAATCCATTTTGATTAGAGTGTTTAGGATTTATTTTCATTATTTTCCGTAATCGACGTATAAGTTAATCGACATCAATATTAAATTCCGAACAGTCTTCCTCGAGAGATCGACCCGGGAAACGAATCATTTGATTCGGTGCTCGGTAAAAAGAAAATAATTTGTACACAACAAATTTGGCGCCGTTGCCGGGGAGGACGAGTAGGATATTTAGTTTTGGTGTTTGATTTTATTTTCTGTGTTTCTCTTGTTCTTGTGAATTTGATTAATTTCAGTGTTTCTCTTGATTTTTTTTTAAATAAAAAATAAAATAAAAAAAAATCTTTTTCATTATATTCGTTTGAAAGTTTTTACGAGTAAAACGACTTTTTCGTTTGAAAGTATTTACGAATAAAACAATTTTATCGTTTGAATGTTTTTACGAGTAAAACGATAGTAAAAAAAAAAAAATCCTTCTTTTTCGTGGCTACGTGTGAGTGTTCTGTTTTGTTGTGTAGGTATTATGAATTTCAATCGTGCTTTCCCATATCCGCACAACCAATCATGGGAGAACGAGCCAAGTTATCACACCGGGTACCACAACCAGTCATATTCATATTCTTCCGAGCAGTATTGGGATCCCTACACAGTCGAGCAAACTTATGAGTCCCAGCAGTTCAATGAGAAGCTCGACTGTATCTATGAAATTGCAACATCTCGGTTAGCTCAGGAAGAGGAGACCGCAACTCGGTGTGTACCTCTGAACCAATCACCTCCATACCACGATTTTTGGGACTATGATCAAACTTGGACATACTCCTACGAGCAGCAGTGGGATTCTTGGCCTATCGAGCAGTCACACGAGTCCCTCGAGGATTCCTCAGAATACAATGCAAAGCTCGACCAGGTCCTCGCTCTTTTAGCCTCCAAAGCGGCCCAAATGAGCAATATTAAGTCTCGAATCGAGAACCTAGTGGAGCGCGTGCAAGTCCTGGAGGATCGAGTTACCAATGTCTCTCCCCAAGTCGAATATCCCCACTTTATGCTTGATACTCAAGCTCGTATGATGAAGCAAATGTGTGAGGCAGAAGAAGAAGAAGATGATGAGCTCCACCAAAACGTTGATATCTCAGAGGAGGAAATCCATGGGTTTGATTCTCAAGTCACCCCTCCCTCCTCCAAGTTGGAGTATTCGTCTCCGAAGCCGTTGCACTGTGATACAAAGTGGGTAGGATCTAGTTCGACTTGCTCCACATATAAGCTTATACTTCCGGAGGTTGACAAAATAGCTCGAGTGAGAAAAGCTCTGTGTCAAGAATTGAGGATTGCTCGTACCTATACTCGACTAGAGAAAATGAAGTTTGAATGCACTCGGTTGGTGGTGAAGCTTGATGACATCAAGCGCGATCAGTCCGTCAAGATTGAAAGAAAAATCCATATGTGTCATTTCATTACCATCCTTGGTACTTACGCTCGGTTCCACAAGAACATTGCCACCCGAGCACACCAGGTCTGCGGTCATGCTACCCTTCCCATGCTGCCGTTTCTCGAGAATACGAAGGCGTGGCACGACCGTCATTTTTTCTTGGACCCCGGCTGAGTTGTACAGGCTTCGTCAAGCTAATGACGTTAAACAAGCGCTTCTTGGGAGGCAACCCAAGTGATTTACTGCTTTCTTGTGTGTTTCGTTGATTTTTATTTTATTTTTATTTTTTTTTATTTTTTTTTATAATGGGAGTTTTGGAGTTTTGTGATTTTCTTGTCAGGAATGAGCTTGCAGGTTACGGCATAGACTGAGCTGAACGCCCAGGTTAAGCATGCGCGAATATTTCATATGGGAAGACTTACTCGACTTGATACATTTTCGGTTTGCACACACTTTTCTTTTATTTATTTATTTTTCTCTTATTTGTGTTCTTGTGTGTTTGATTTTTTTTAGTTTATGTTTGTCGCATGAGTGCTTGTGTGGTTGTGTGTTCTTTCCTATGCTTTTTGGTCAAGCAATGAAGACATTGCTTTGTTTTAAGTGTGGGGGAGTAATCTCATAATTATGCATGCTTAGGCGTCATTTTAGGTGTGTGTTTGTGTCGATTTCTCCATATGAAGCTTAATGTTTGTTTTAAGTCAAAATGACTAAGTGGTTAGTTTGGATTGTCGTTTGGTTTCATTGATAATTCTCATGCTCGATGTACTTGATGAATTTGACGGTTCCCTTAAAATTAAATGAAGATTTGTTGACATTGGAAACCACAATTGTGTTCGAAAAAATTGTTTTGTCCCTTGTTTATTCTCGATTGGTGATCTTGAAACAATCTTGTCTTATGTTCGATTATTGTTAACGTGTTATGCTATACACTTGTGTTACGTCTTGATTGAATTATGATGTTCATGTTATTATATTCATGATGTATCCTTGTGTTACCATCCCTTTAAAAAAATAAAAAATAAAAAAAAAATAAAAAAAAAAATCTGAATAAGATGTGAATTCGCAAGGAAGTACGAATTAGGCTCCTATTGTTTCGGTCCATTTTATGGAATGAGATAATGAGCCCGGGAAACCGGTCTAGAAAACTCGAGGAAAACCCTCGAGGCTAAACCTAGATAATAATCATTCGGAAACCTTGTTTGGAAAAATGTAGCTCACGGAAAAAAAAAAAAAAAAAAATAAAAAAAAATAAAAATAAAATGAGCTCGTGAGAGTTGAAAGGATTAGACTCCGCTTGATCTGAATAATCTCACTCGAGATAGATATGGTCAATGAGTATGGGAAACCGGCCTAGGACACTCGGGGACAAACTCTGAGGGTAAACCTAGGTAATTATTGTCCTAACGACTCTCATTTGGAAAAAACGACTCATTAAATAGAAATAATAAAAAGAGGGAATTGGACTTTTGGGTTGGTTCTTATTGTTTCCTACATATTGAGTAAACCATTTATAGCTTTTTGCACGTGTATTTGTAAAAAGGAAGTTTGAATTAAGTAAATCATTTGTAGAATAACTTGGGACGAGTTTTTGTTTCGTTTGAACTCATTTTGTGGGGACCGTGTTTTCAAATTTGAGTTGAGTTTTATGGATAACCGGAGGAAGACGAGAGTTTCATTTTGCATGATTATTAACTTTGGACTTTTCGATCTTTCTTCTCGAATTGCTTGTTGTTTTGTTTGCTTGAGGACAAGCAAAGAGTTAAGTGTGGGGGAGTTGTTTGTACTATTTTTGTTACGTTTTTCGTTATTGTTTTGTAATTCTTTTTCCCTGTTTTAAGTCTTTTTGTTAGTTTTTAGTTAGTTTTGTGTTTTATTATGTATTTTGTTCCATTTTGGTTTTCTTTGTGTTTTTCGTGTGTTTTTCCGGTTTTTCTTCGTTTTTGGTGTGCAGGTCGAAAGTCTCGTGAGGAGTCGATTATAGACCGGGCAATCATGGTGGACTTATTGGCTACACATAGGAAAAACCGGAATTTGATTTCGAGTTCGGATGAATCCGGACGGAACCAAAATGCGAAGCCGCGCAAGTTACCGACCCTTTTAAAAGTTGGAAATTCCACAAAATTTGTATCCTGGGCAAAAGTGTGGTTTTAAAGCATCATTGGATAGAGGGGTTTGTTAGCTACGCGTAGGAAAAAACGGAACTCAATTCCGAGTTCGGACGAGCCAAAACGAGCCAAAAACGTAAAGCCGCGCAGTGCAGTCGCGAGAAGGCCGCGAGTTGGCAACGATTTTTCTCACTTTTCTTCACTTTTCTTCCTTTTTCTCCTTGGTAGATGATGGTTGTTGATGATAGTGTTGACAATGGTTGATAGTGTTGATATTGGTATGCTACTTATCATCTATAAATACCCACTTCATTCATCATCCAAACCATCTCCTAAAAATCCAAATTAATCACAATCCTTTAATCCTTCCATTATTTTCACTTAGTGTGTTTCTAGATTAGTTCTTGTGCTGAATTTCGGAGGTGTTCTCCAAGGCTTGTACTTGTTCCGGTTTGGCGTGTATTTATTCTCAGTTTGGCGTTTGTATCAACTTTATTCATCAACTTGGATTACATGTAAGTTTTCTTTCTTGTAATTATAATTTGCAATGAATCTTATGTTGAGTTTATTTTTGATATGAATAGCTAAATCATTAGCTAGGGGTAGGGAATAATTATTTCGGTTTAAGCTCGTTTATACGCATGATGATAATTCCATCTTGACGAGTTGTTTTAATCATGAATTAATAAATTAAACTTGGTAAATTTTTATAACCTAAGAGTGACACTTAGGTTAATTTTATGATATAATCAAAGAGTGACACTTTGATTTGTGCTTGATATTGATTTATTAAGTTAAAGTTTGTTAATTTTGTGAATTACAATTTGTAGAACCGAGAGGGGAGGAGTTGTAAAAAATAATCTATTTCATAACCGAAAGGGGAGAAATTGATAGAACTTGGCTCGTTTAGAAGAGACATGTTCGGAGACGTATTGTCTATGTGTTAATTGTTTCGTTAATTTGCTCGTTTATGTTTTTCCATATATTACGAGAGTTAGTATGGTTGAACTGCTAAATGAGTTAGTTAGTTGAACTACTTAACCGAGTTATTGATTGTCGTTGAATGAGTGTAAAACCGGAAGTGATTTATTCCCGATTCCCTAGCTTCTTTATTATTGTCTTGTTTATATTTTTAGGTAGATTATTATTGTTATTTCTTAGTTGATATTTTAGTTAATTATTATTCAATCCATTTTGATTAGAGTGTTTAGGATTTATTTTCATTATTTTCCGTAATTGACGTATAAGTTAATCGACATCAATATTAAATTCCGAACAGTCTTCCTCGAGAGATCGACCCGGGAAACGAATCATTTGATTCGGTGCTCGGTAAAAAGAAAATAATTTGTACACAACAGTTGGCTCTCAACCATTCCCCAAATTGCCCTCGATTAAGAATATTTCTTGCTAGATCCTCCTTCTTATCTTGACAGTTTTTTTCAATATGACCGATTTTCCCACAGTAAAAGCAAAAAAGTTGGAGGTTTTCATACCTGAACTCCACCCATTTGGTTTCGGCTCCAAACTTAAGGTTTGTACCTCTGGGAAGTGCTTCTTTCAAATTAAGCTCCACTTGAATTTTGAGTAGCTTTCAATTTGGGCAGCCCGCTCCAGGAACCAGAACATTCAAAACGTTTCCGAAGATCCTCCCAAACTTCATTCCTATTTCCAAAGTGAGCCAATGCAGGGGCAGGTTATGGACTTGGACCCAGATTTTTATTTTCTCCTCCTCCTCTGAGAACTCTGTTGAGAGAGGATCCCAGTCCTTTAGCAGTATTTACTGGCCGTCAAACGACCAGGTCTTTCCTCTTAGAATCTTAATTTTGTCTTCTTCCTTCTGAAAAATAATCTGGTAACGATTGAATCCAATGCTTCTAATGGAAAATTCTTGTTGCGTATTCCAGATGTTCCCAAGCATAGCCTTTAGCCCATTGAAGCTGCATTTCTTTTCCCCATACAATTTACCAATCAGACTTAGCTTACAATCTTTCACACCCAGAGCTATGTCTTCTTCCTCAATATCCAACCCCTTTTCCTCCTTTTCAGATAACCTAAATTTCCCCAATTTCGCCGACAGATCATCTGCCATTTTAACGAGATCGGAACCACAGCCACACCAGGGATGATCGCACCACCACCCAAGGAAAGGGAAACAAAAAGCCTAGAAGGAAGACTAAGAAAAGACCTACAGAAATCCTAGATCTACACACAGAGACAGACATAAACCCTAAGACAAAGAAAATGACAGGAGACGAGACCCCGGAAAACAAGAACAAAAGGCACACTCTTGTAGTAATGACGCAACCTTTTCTGCAAATAATTGAATACTGATGGGTTGAGGCAAGTGTGGGCTATTAATTAGCTTAACTAATTCTTCTACTCTTGTTCTGGGTAAAAAAAAAAAACAATGTCAATTAATGATTGTAATGTTAATCCATGTACGAATAATGTTAAAAGAGTAGAAATTTGAATCAAACTAGTATCTTCAATGCATCAATTTGATAAGCAGTTATTTGTATATGTGGACCAATTAAAATAATCATTAATACAAGAACAATAAAAAATTAAATCAAATATAAAGTGAATTGATTAGTCATCATGTTTAACATGGTGTTAGATATTAGAAAGTGTTCAACATTGTCAACATTAAATGCTATCCACCTCATCATGAAAGAGTTCATGACAAGATGCATTAGAGAATAAATTAGTAATACACTTTCAAAAGTTGATGATATGGATGAATTTTTATGAAGTCAAAAGCTACATTGGAGATGCTCTAAGCATGAAAGGACCCATAATCTAATATATGGGAAGATAAATTATTTACACGATTTCTATTTAGATGAGGTGGATAAACTTTTTACTCTTTCAAAAGAATGCATTGTAGATGCTTGTTCAACTCATCAGCCATCTTATACATATTCAATTTAAATACTATTCAATTGTATCTATATATATATAATTACTAGCTCAAAACATTTAATAAAACCTATTTAATTTTACCTATGTGGCAATTTAATAATTTTCCCTCCAAAAACCGTTACATTTTGATGTATTTAATCTTTCATTTAATCATTAAATAATTAATACTCATCACTTTAAAATTACAAAAATTATTTTAAACTTTTGATTAATGACAGTTGACCATATAATGTGTTGACCGTATAATGTGATTAGATGTTATTATTGTTGTTACATTTAATTTTTTTTTTTTGAAAATAAAAAATATATCTATATATATAATTACTAGCTCAAAACATTTAATAAAACCTATTTAATTTTACCTATGTGACAATTTAACAATTTTCCCTCCAAAAACCGTTATATTTTAATGTATTTAATCTTTCATTTAATCATTAAATAATTAATACTCATCACTTTAAAATTACAAAAATTATTTTAAACTTTTGATTAATGACAGTTGACCATATAATGTGTTGACCGTATAATGTGATTAGATGTTATTATTGTTGTTACATTTTTTTTTTTTTTTTTGAAAATAAAAAATATATCTATATATATATAATTACTAGCTCAAAACATTTAATAAAACCTATTTAATTTTACCTAATGAACAATAAATAAAAATAAAAGAGCTTCAAGACTCAAAAGAGGTCGGATAGTCAAAGTGCAGGTCTTTCCTCTCTATTGTCACTGCCGCTCAATACACTGACGCTCACAGAAAAAACAAGAATTTGAAGTAGCTTGAGCTTGCTATCAAGCCTGAAAAAAGAAGAATAACACTAGCCCAAAAGGAGATGTTGGAAGCCAAGAGTCTGAACAAGGCAGCTATTCCCGAAACCCTCTTCACCAATCCTTCTCCGGCCAACCTCCAATCCACCCGCCTTGCTGTCCATGTAATTATCTGCACCAATTTCTCCCTCAAAATCCATGTTATTTTTTTTGTTGGGTTTTTTGTTTATTTTTCAACAATGATCGGTTGGGTTGATGCAATTGCAGGCCAATGGGAACTCTTCATCTTGCTGGGTTTACGTTGCTTCTGGTTCCCGCGTTTACAAACTCTTGGTACTCTCATTCCCCTTCACCCACAAAACCTTTACTGTATATGATAATTTTTTTATTGCTGTTTTGAAATGGCGCGTAATCTGTTTTCCATTTACGTGTCAACAAGTTAGGTGTTGCTTGCAAGTTTTTATCTTCTCTTGCTCGAATTTCTTGGTGCTGCGTGATAAGTTTCGGTTTAATTTTGTGTTGAATGTTTAATTTGGGATGGTAATGAGGTGGAATTTGGATTTATATGCTCAAATTTTGTGAAATTTTATTGTTATTTTTTATTTAGCTGAAATGGGTTGGTACCTTCTTGATGATGATTGATGCCTCTTGGTTATTGTTTCAGATTGCGATGGAGGACTCTTCAGTCGGACAGGGAAAAGAAAGCCTTCTAATCCCAGAACACACTCAGGTACTTGTTTTACTGACTCGAATGAAGATGGTGCAAATTTGATTCATCTGATCAAAATGAGGTGTCTTTTATGAAGGTTTTGGACTCATCATTGGTTAGCCGCTGTCCTCATCGGGCGGAAATCCAAAGCATTGTGCTTGCGGGAACTGAAAGTGAGATGTTGTATTCTTCATAGTAGCTGGTCTTTAGTGTCGAAATTTCATTGTTTTACTCTTGAGAAAATATTTGTAGTCTTACTTTCGGAAGAACTCGTGACTTTATGCAAAATGATAAACGTACAACTGATAATGCATGCCGTCAGCTACTAAACTATGGATAATTAAGCCGAGGAGTTTGGGTACATTTTGGTGGCCCCATGCTTGTTATGAAAAAGTGAAGAGTGCATACTGATATCGAGAGGCATCTGCGCATTTATTCTGATTAGGGGTTGTATTAAACTGTTTTGACAGCAGGCATGGAGTGCTCAATTTTGGGAAGTGTAGACTCTTATGGTCACCTCATTGTTGCTCCCCTAAATGATAGAAATACAGGTTTGATGCCCAAAACCCATAACTATTATTTTTTCTCGTTTAATTTTATCTCCTTTTCATTTTTCCTTTATTCTCATGTCATCTCTGTTCCTTTCATCAAACTTTCAATGTTGAGCCTTCTGTGCGGTGATTTTTTCTTTTTGAATGTGCCGCTGTTGATAACTTGTACAGCATTATGAATACATTCTAGTCAGGCTACTTTCTTCTCCTGTAGTTTTTGTCACTTTACAATCATTTTTCCATATTGTTGACAATAACCTTCTGAAACGTGTCCCAATCAATGGTTTACTGGCTAATATTTGGCCAACTAGCTCATCGATGCATAACGTAGGTAGACTAAAAGTCCAAGTTAGTCTGCTTGACTGGTGCATATTGTTAAACTTAAGCATTTTTACTTCTGTGGTTTGATGACATGCACTTGTTGTTGCAGATGTTGATGGCTTTACATATACGGTATCTCCTCGAGATTCTGGTATTGGAGAAGGGAGTTGGGCTGGCCTGTGCTTTAATCCAAATCAATTGTGCATGGTAATTTATTTTACTGCATGGTCTATGTCGGCCCATAGATATTTACTCTGCTTTCGGTTTGACCTTTTGTCCTCATATAGTTCCTTCCAGTTCATGACTTTTTCATCCCTTTGTCCTTTCTAAACCACTTTTATTTTTTGAGTTATCTGGGTACATCAACTTTTGAGTTTTAATTTTGATATTGTTATTCTTTCTATACTGCTATGTACTTTATACATTTTGGTTCCCAATATGAAAACTGATGATGGCCTTATGTGGGGCAAAGTCATATATCAGTGAATATAAAATGTGATGGACTCATGCACCAAGTGCGAAATTTTAATAGGTGGTGATAATTTTTTTCTCCTTGATGCCATTTGAAATGTTAGATTCCATGTCTGGCACAATAGATAATTTATACTGCAGTTATTCTCTTTATAATCATCGACTACTAAATTTTCAGTGCCTATTTGTACAGCCCTACCTACAACTTTGCCACCTGCCTAATACCTATTACCCTTTTTTGTTTTCACTCTTTCCTGGTATTTATTTCGTAGTTCTTTGAGAGACTAGGCATTTATTGTGTAGTTCTATGACAATCAGAAACTACTGGTGGAAAAAAAGGGTGTTGGATGTTTTCACGTGCTCTGCAATTTATCTTATTTAAGAAACTTAAATTCTACAAGTTTCACTTTGAGTTGGTAACATTTGCAAAATATGTATATGTTTTACTACATTATTAGTTCACTTATTTATGAAACTGAGTACCTGATCATGGTTCAGGCAGCTGTGGCACGGAGTTTGTGCAAGAGCATTGATATTTATGACCAAGATATTCATCTCCGCACTTTACGTACGTGAGTATCTTATTGTAATACATTTTTTTTTTCCTTTTGCTTTCTCCATCTATATTTTGAATTCTTATTTTCTTCAACTGTATCTTTTTTGCTAGACCCAAAGAAATGCAGTATCTGGCTCTAAACTTTGGATCACCATAATTTGATGTTATTTATGCTCATGTAACAATGGTGACAAGCTCGTTATAAGCACTTATAGAAAAACTCAATTCCTTTAGCCTGTCTTTTGTTCCCGTTAATAGCATTCACCTTTTAGGGCTATATTTTACAAGTATATTATTTTGTTCCTGATCTCTAAAATATGTATGTTACAGATTATGGTATCCTTCTTCACTAACTTTTATGGGTAATTCAAGTGAGAGTGCGAGTTCAATGTTGGCCATCACAGAAGGGTCCCTGGTATTTATCTTGGATGCTTTTCCATGTTGATATTTAAAAAAATAAAAAATAAAAAATGAAAGGAAATATAAGTAAATAAATAAATAAATGAATAAATACACTTTGATAATGAAAAATATTACTTATTCTCTTATGATGATGAATATTTTTTGCATCATGACATTGCAGCTGAGTATATGGGACTTACGTGTGAAAGAAAATGGGGGTTGTGTGCATAGAATTTCGGGTTCTGTTGGAGATATTTTATATTCAGCGACTGTATCTTCAAATGGTTATGTTGCTACTGGTGGGGCTGACCGAACTGTGACTGTATATGATCCGCGTAGGTTAGTTAGCTGTCTTTTTTGTTTATTACAAATACTCGATCAATATTTATTTCCACTTTAAAAGGTGCACTTATTTGTTCACAAACACAAATCTAGAGGGGTGATTCCATTTAAAAGATATATATTATTTTTTCTTTCGTTTATGCGAGTAACGAGGCTTAACCTCAAGGTTAAATTTCAGGATTATATGTTTTTGCAGGATTTTTAGCTTTCAGTCTTATTTTTCTTTCTTTCTTTCTTTATCATCTAATTGTTTTAGGACTTAGTTTTGGTTGACTTTCTTTATACGATCAAACGATTTGCTGCTAACTCAAGCTTGGTGTTGCAGATGGTGCGCAATATCTAGATGGTTAAACTGCTCGAAATATGAGGTCAGTGTTTTGCATGCATCGCTTTGTTTTTGTCGGTTATGTGGAGTCTATACAATCTTTGTCCAGATGTAAATTATTTTCATAATTTCTCCTATATCCCGTCCATTGACCTTAACTGTGAGCAACAAAATTATGGTTTGGTTGAGAGAGTTTAGTCGGCAAAAAGATTATATTCTTGACTTTTAGTTGGGATAAATGTCTTCATTTGTGATTTTCTCTTGAAAATCTTTTTTTAGTGTGGCTCCAAATTTATTTTGGGTAAAAGAATGTAGCTTCGGACTGCATTTCGCTTCATCAGAATTATTTTATTGTATATTGCAGATAACTGGACTGACTTTTTCATCAGTCGACCCTAATTATATCTATGTCCAAGGAGTTGATTATGAGGTAAATTCTTTTAGCATTTTAGTACCAATTTTTCTGATGGTTGATCCTTCATTATCACCTTCTTCAGTTATTTATTTACTGCAGTTGTGCCTTTTTCTTTGTTTATTAATCCAGCATGTTTATCGGCTTAATATAATAAAAATATAGGTCGCTAAGTAGAGTCTAGGAAATCACGTATAGAGACTAGCTATTACAATATGTTTCTTATTATTGAAAATATAAAAAGAGAAATCACGTATAGAGACTAGGAGTCTAGACAGGGATTNATGGCAAAAATATTAGAATAATGCATGCCCCTGTGACATGAGTTCTCTAATGTCTATTGAGTTGCTCATGCTATAATATTAATGGAATTTGAGACAGAAAAAATCATTCTGCAATTGATGGATTTGAGTTACTACACATGTTAAATGAATGTTAAATCACGATACTTTTTTAGGTTCTTTGTGGACAATGGATAGAAAGCAAGAAAGCATTTTCATTTAGAGGAGACTCGAACTGGCTTGGGTTCAGCAAGGTTTGATCGATTATCACCCTCATCTTTGTAAAGTGTACATAATTACTAAAACTTCACAAACGTCTTTCTCAAGGAAGGCAACAAAAAAAATAAAAGGGTTCTCAAATTCCTTTTACTGCAATTTATATGCCTTCAATTAAAGATCATACCCAGATTTCGTTAATTCTCTATCTTTAATTCATAAAAGTGAAAACAAACACGAAGACCTTCTTTTTATCAACTTTCTTTTTGTGCTTGCCCGTAAATTTACTGAATTTATGAGAATGTTGCGCGTTGAGCTCGTTTTAAGAAGATCACGCATCTAAGTTGTCCCAGTTCCATTTTGCAGTGTTCGGGTAGGGATATTTTGGCGGGATGGTGTGATTCGGGCAGCATATTTGTCGCTGATGTTTTCTAGAATATAAATTTCGAACGAGAATATACGCCATGAAACGACAGTGATATTTTTGTTTTTTCCTGGTCTTTGATTCTTGGTGCACACAAAGAGATCTCCCTTTAAGGAACTGAAAATTCTTGAATGATAATCTTCTAATTAAGATTGAGAATCAATGGCTGCCTCTTCTTTAAATTCTATGTTTTTTAAAAAAAAAAAAAAAATATTTTTTTATAATATTTTCAGACAGTTATTCTCTGTAATTTTCCTACAAGGGATAATATTCTTGATCTTGTTGTCCTTGAGAGAGTATAATTCATACATGAGCTGATTCTCTCTGGACCAAATTTTTCAATTTCTCTAATGTCTGTAACTAAAATTTATTTATTTTATTTGCTTTTCTCTTGTATCAGTATTAAAGAGTATTTTTTTAGTTAGGGACGTAGAGATCATCACACATTTGTCTGTCATAAACATTCTTTCAGTCAAACCAGAAAAGAATAAAATCAAAGCTCCATTTTTTTCTCCTGTTGGAAATATTGCTGCTACTGCTTTATCCAACTTGAATTTTTCAAAGTCACAGGCTAATCAATATCTTGGGGGAAAAATAATTATTATTCATGCATGTCATGTTTGTGGTTTGTGTGGTGTTCTGTTATTAGTTAATGACTGGTCAAAATTTGACATCAATGTCTAAAATCAAATTTAGATTTGATCAAACATCACCAGAACCAGTTAAACATATAACTTTGGACCATAGAAAATGACAATCCTTAATAAAATGGTTTTAATAGGTTTGGGCCTTGGCTAGATTCATGGGTGGGCACAATTTTTTATATGATGCTGTGTGCTTATTAGTCAGGTCCACTCAATATAATTTTTTTCTGTTATAAATATATACTTGTAAAATATTATGCTTCTGTTTATGTTTATCTTTTTTTTAGTAAGATTATTTCAATTTAAAAATATTTTAATAGTTGAAAAGTATATTTGTCTAACAGTTAATCTGCCTAATTAATAGTGCTACAAGGTGTGTAGAACCAAGTGGAAGAGAAATAGTTATATTGATATATGTTTCTATCATATGTTTATTTTACTAATACCTTAATTTATTAGATACTTAAGTATACAATCACATGTCTGTAGTCTTTTAAACGACAGAATAAATAAATAAACAAATATAAAAAATGCACAGTAAAATCTTTAAATAGGATGAAATAGCATACATGATACAATTACAAAAACTGAGAAAAAAAAAAAAAAA